CCCCCCCCTTCCCATTGATAAAAACACTTGAATGAGATCTCCTAGCGGGCGCGTACGCGGAGAGGTCACTCCGGGAAACTTTCCGCTCTCGGGACGACTCCCTCCGCCCGGCCCTCCACTCCCTCCGCCGCCGTTCCCGGGCCCCACCGACGGGGGGCAATGGCACGGTGTTCGGAAGGCTCCGCGGGGCGATGGGAGCGGGCAGCCCCGCCGTTCCCTGGACGGCTCCCCTCTCCCAGCTCCGGGCGTTGCTCCTCTCCCTCGGCTGTCCCCGGCCGCCACTGCCTGCGATCCTCCCCTGATCCTCACCCTCGGGGCGATGCGCTTCCCCGCCTGCCCCCCTCACAGAAAGCCCTACCTCCGGGGGGGGTCTCCCGTCAGCGGGTCCCTCTGAGGTCCCTTTGGGGCGCTCTCCCACCAGTACGGTGCCCGCACATTCCACCCCCTGCCTCCAGCCGGGCTGCTCGGCATCTCCCCAGGAGGGATCACGGTTCAGCGCGGTGACTTCAGCCCAATTCCCATCCTGCATGCAATCTGCCTCCTTCAGGTTGCACATCCCAACAGCTTTGCGTCTCAGTCCTCTTTCCCCACCGCCTCACTTGCGGCGTTCATCATATCCCTCCCTTTAAGCTGAGAAATTGCACTGAAATCCCTCCCGGCTTTGTACTGCCCCAAACGTGGGTGCTCAGGGTCACACACCTGTGAATATCCCACGGCAGCAAGGAGGTGAACACAGCACGGAAGGTGGCTGCACATTATGGATGCTGAACCGATGACAAACCTAAAATCCATTTCCTTAATGAAATAACAAAGTTCAAAGCACTGAGCGTATGAGGTTGGCCGCAGCCCAGCTCTGAGCATCCCCTGAGGGACGCCGCACACTCGGGCTGCTGTCACACCTACCTCCGGCCTCAGACGTTGCTGAAGTGCCAAAGAATCAGATCTTATGCATCATAAGCAAACAAATGGAAAAACAGGTTGTAATGCTGAGGATTTGTCTCGGCATTACCTCCGTTAGCTCAGGCATTCGTGAACCAAAATGCGTATTACAACAAAACAGAGCAGGATATCTCGAGGAGCTCGTCACAGCAGAAGCTATTTGTATGCTTTTAAAGCACGTTAGCACCGCTTCCTGCGAGAACAACAAGAGGTTCAAAGAAGCAGGAGCTGCGTTCAATCAGGTGATGGAAAATGTAAGAGGCACTCATTAAAACTGAGCCCTCTGGACGTTATCACAGTGTCTCCATTTTTAAGTTTAATATGCCCTTATAGAACACAAAACGTTTTCAAATACTGAGGCCATAAACACAGAGAAGGAAAAATTCTGATCCAAATACATACTTCTTAGTTCTGTGGGTGCAATCTGAATAAATACAAAGCTGAGTCTCTCCTAAAGATTGATGCCAGTTAGAATTGGCTCTGATTATTTTATGTTTCTCATTACTTACAGTAGTGTTCAGGTCCTTTTTGGCAGTTTTGTCCCTTGAAGTGGTAGCAAATAGAGCAAAGGACTGGGCTCGGACATCTGCAGATGTCAGATCACCATGCAACACGCTGGGGCCCTCCCACCTGAGCCCTAAGCAGGGTCTGTGTTCTCTCATGATCTCACCGTTCTGTCTGGTCCCAGTCACGCTTGCCCATGTTCTCCAATAGACCCAGAGCGATGTGCTAGGAGGCTCACAGCAGTGTGGGAAAGGCTGCAAGGAATTGGGATGCATTGATAACCAGATTCATAGAACCTCAAAGGTACATGAAATAAGAAGTGCCCCCCTCAGTACTTCAGATGCAGAACTGACTCCATGTGAGCACAGGAATCCTTTTTCCAATGAGGAACCAGTTCCCAGGTGAATATTCCTAGGGTGTCGGGCTCTGGAGCAGGCTCCTCAGGTCAGTGGCCATGGCATGGAGCTGCTGGAGTTCAAGAGGTGTCTGGACAGTGCCCTCAGATACGTGGTGTGGGTGGTGCTGTGTGGGGCCAAGAGCTGGACTTGATGATCCTTATGGGTTCCATCCATTCTATGAAATGGCAGCTGCTAATTCTTGCAACAGAAGAAATAAGTCATGGAGTCTCACTGGAGGCGTAAAACAGGCAGATATCGAGTAGATCTGGTTTACAGCTAGTGGCACGGTTTTAGATTAACATACTCTTCACAAGAAAAGTATTTGTATTTGACTCATTCTGCAAACACCACAGGCAGACACAATTTTTGCAGTGAATCACACAATAACATTGTCTAGAAATACGAAGTGCTAGCTAAGTCCATCATCTCTGTGCTGATTTGGGTTGGGCAGCACCAGCCCTTGAGCCTCAGCAAACTCAGGCATCTACTGGAAGGCAATTTATAGACCCCCACTGCAGCTAGGGTAAAGAGAAGGCATGCCCAGTGCATGATACAACCCACTGCAATATAATATCTTAGGGCTTCTGGACAAGCTCACCTCACTCCCTTGTCTATAAAGGGAGTGCCCCTGCACTAAGGGACATACCTTAGCTCAGTCACTGAATGCTTAAATAGCCAATGTTAGGGGAGAGGAATCCCCTCCATGCTGATTGACCATGGCAGTGAGCTCACACAATTCTAAAAATAACAGTATAGAAGTGACGGTGTTAAACCCAGGGTATGGCTCTTACCCCAGGTATGTCTGGAGATGTCCTTCTACAAACATGGAAGAAGACACACCAGATGTAGATCAGCTTTCCACCACAGTGTAGTATTTCGTTCACTTCTTGTTTCTGTCACAAGGCACTGCGGCCTTCTGGCATTGTCGCATTCAGCAGCCACTTCCATAACCACTCACATAACCACTCTTCTGTTACTTGGTGCCTGCGATCAGCTCTCCAAAGCACCATCTTACATTGTGTGACAATTTCAGATGAACCCGGCACATCTTGCCCACTCTGAAGTGCCAGCAGTCACGCAGCAGCCTGCGTATACGTGACATTTTCATTTGACCCTTTGTGCTCTCAATACTGAGAAATCTAAATCCAGTGGTCTTAAATGTGATGGGTTCTGGGACAATCTAGAAAAAATATATCAACAAAATACCAAAAAAAAGGTATGTTCTCTTCCAGGAGTAGGAAAAATAATAAGACCCTCAGCTATTGGTCAGTGCTTCCCATCCCAGATGTCTCCAAAACTCTCTCAATTCCATTTTAATTTCTCCTTCAGACTTTTTTTTGATGATTTCACTCTGGAAGGAGAACACACTCTCATATCACAGGGAGTTTCTTGGCATGGCCCACCGACATATCAGCGCTCCACTCATAACTTCTTAAAGTTACAGTGGTTTTTCCTACAGTCTTGAGAGATGGAGAGAAAAATTCCTCAGTTTTCCACATTTTGCATTAGGGAGCAATGTGAGAGCAAGTCAAGTCATGAGCATCCCTCACAGGTCAGCATGTGAGACAGGACTGCATCCTGCATTTTCCAAGACCAAATTCCTGATCTCAACCAGAGGACTCTTCATTCATGGGTTAATGTCACACTTTTGATTGGATTTATGGGCTGGAGGTCTCAACAGAAGGAAAGTATCTTCAGAAGCATCTTCTGGGTCACTCCTGTATCCAAAGGGAATGCAACCATGCTGTGCTTTCCTGGATCTCTGGGGATCATTTTCCTCTTGAGGCCAGCAAACACCACTGCCTGAGCAAGAGCCCACCCCATCTTAGTGCCTCATGCACCCAGAAGGGTTTATCAACCAGCACTAACAGGAGCTGTGCATGTACCTCCCTGGACATTCCCCAGAGGTGTCTGTGCCTGCAGCCACTGCCAGTGGAAGGACTTGTGTTGCAGGAGCAGGATGGGAGGATTGTGCATGCTAAGGCTGTGCCCTTCTCCTCCCAGCAGCCTTCATCTGGGGAGGCAACAGCTGACCTTCATACTTACCTCACAAGACTTGTCAGCTGCTATTCTTGTACTTAGACAATGGATGAAGAGGACTGTGCTGGTACATATGCGAGCTCTCCACGCTGTTGATGATAGTTCTGCAGAAACTGATCTTACAATTATTGGTAGCATCAAGGAAATCCATCAAACGAGCACCCTGTTAAAGCACCAAGCAATTTGTATTCCAAGTTGTCTCAGTGTCTGCGTGCATCTCACTGTGAAAGAAAGTTTTTTGTATGTGTTTGTTAGCTGGGTGCCCCCTCCCCCATCTGCCTGTGTCTGGCAGGGGGCAAGGGTGGGTCTGGAACCTCACACATGTCTCAGCCATCCGCTGACATTACTTATAGGTTTGTGGGTGAGGGCACCCATGGGCTGGGGAGGACATGAGGGGCAGATGACACAACAGAGAAGGGCAAAATAAAACCAAACACAATAGAAGAAAACACAGAATAGCTACACTCTCACTAAAAGCAACAACCACAGATGGAATGGTTCGTGATGGTTTCAGTCATCTGTTGCAACACTGACACCGAGGACCATGCCTTGGTACCATCC